GATGAAAATCAGGCAGCCTGCAAAGCTTCTTGTTCTACTTTTGATTCTCTATAGCGATAAACAGTGAAATCTGAAAATTTTAAACAACTTCTTGAGAGTTCAATAGCTTACAGTTTTATTACATGGACATGTTTTTCCCACAAAAACCCATCTTTTATGTTCCTAAATGGAAGGAGACGAGAATACAGTGATCAAAAAGGTAGTGATAAGAACAAAATAGAAATATTTACAAGCAAAAAGTTTACTAAAAATGTTGGTATCTGATTCTCTGTCTCCCCAGGGTAAGTGAAATATTACATTCTTCCAAACATGTGTAAGATTATTGTGTTCTCTTGCTGTCACTGAGCCATATGCAGTATTTCCTGCTCCAGAAGCTGACAATCTGCTGAAATTTCTTGGTCTCTTTGGACCAACAATCTTGGAAGTCTCGCTCCATGCCAGGGATGGGAACCTTGGGGCACTAAGCTGTGTGATCCCATCCCTTGCCTTGTTGGGCTCAGAGTGGGCTGCATATAGATGTTGGGAAAGCAGGAGGAAGTGCCTTTCCTTAAAGTTCCCCAGGCATCTTATCAGTTGGGAACAGGTGTTCATGGTCTAGGAATAAACAAACTAAACTCCAGAGGCCCAGCAGGGTCCAGAAGGTGTGCATGTTTTTAAAATATCCAAATGTCTTGCAGTGGACAAGGTCCAGTGGCGCTTTCTCAGGTTGCTGGAGCTTCATAGGACCTGCTTCAAGCAGTGTTCTCTTTTAATCATCTCTTTCAGCTCTGAATCACTATATATTATAGAAATGCCATGACATTTAATACAAGAAAGCATTTCTGTTTTCCAATCCATGCTGTAGCAGTTCTATTGATTTTAATGCAATTGCTGAAGGTATATGTCTGAGTAGTATTTGAGCCAACGGCAATGTAATATTTTCCTTCTCTTTGAAAACACCTGCTGAAAGCAATAAAACTTTGATTTTGAAGTTTGAATTTGGTATTTGAAAAATATTCAAGAGTGAAGAGACATCTCTATTCAAAAGTGAGAGGACAGATTAGTAGTGATAATGTTCTTTCTTGGATACATTGAAATTGGGTTGCTATTGGATGAGAGTCTTCTTTCACCAAACATGCTAACATGACATGTAATCAGTTTTAAAGAAAGCTGCAGTGCAGCTAGTGGACTGAAAGCCAGGCAGAATTTTGTGTCAGAGAAGAAAAGCAGTAATTATGAGCATAAAGGTGTAGCTGTAAATGGGTAAGTATGAAAAAATGATAAACTGCTTTACATACTCTTCAGCCCATTGTCTTGTGGCTGCATTGGTAATAAACAATGGTGATTGCACCTTGCTGACTGATAATATAGATGAGCTAACCAGTTTAACACTCTTGTCATTCAACAGCCCTGTTGAATAGGATATCAAGTCATCGGCTAATTACCATAAAACACAATCATACACTTTCTTGGTAAAGCATATTTACTGCTGGAAACTATTAAGTTTTTTCCTGATGGTCAGAGCCCAGGTTCCAACATGATTTTTGCTGAGGTATATTAAACTTGAGAGACTTCTGTTGAATTTTATGGAGCTTTTAGCAGATGTGGAAAGGCCCTCCTTAGATTAGTTGAAGTTGCCACATACGTTTTACAGTTGAGGATTTTTACCATCATGCATGTATAGGTGTGGAGCTACCATCCATTGGTATATCTTGTACTAAGTAATCAAGTACTTAGTTCTTAATTGCTTAAGTACTAGGCAATTTTGGTAACAGAAAAAAACCCAGGATCTTCCTCATGCTTTTCTGTTCTCGCAAGGACTGGTGATACTTTCAGAAGATGCCTTTTGGAAGTTTTCTGGCCAGAATAAGCCATCCTGCAAAATTGCTCCAACCATTTCATCAGTTTAGTGTGGGCTAAGACCATAGAAAATAATAAGCTTCCAAATTACCAGATTTAGGTATGTCTAATGAAGTCAAGTGCACAGTCTCCTGAATCCTATTGTGTGTAGTGCCCTGTTTGCTTATGTGCGAAGGAGTGAATTAAAATTTTAGGACACCTGGCAGACAATATGTTTCTCTGTTTACCATCTGCAGTGAAGTCTTGGTTCAGGCCTTATTTATTGTCTGTTGCATGTTACTTAAGAAGAGGAAGAATGGAGCATCATTTTTCATGAGCTTAAAAATAACAGTGTAGATCTTCTTGTTCATGTAAAAGAGCTAGAATTCATGCTTTGTCCTGCTTCAGAGAAAGAAACACAGTATGCCACCAGAGATCAATCTAATGAAAATTCCCTTACAATGTCTAGGCCTATGCTTAAACAAACTAAATTAGTTTTCTGTGAAGTAACACAAGTGCTTCTGAATTGTGAGGTAAATCCAGACTGTTGAAAATCAGGAGCAGCGTTCAGGTGCCCTTAATGAGATTTTGCATTAAGAAGAAAGAATGTTTTTGAGTGATGGCTTGAAATTTCTGTTGCATATGTGTGATAGTTACTGCTTTAGGAAACCCACTCTCAGCTGAGGTATCTTTGAAAGATCCTACAAATGCAGTGGAGACAGAAGCTGACAGATTCAAGATGTCTAAAATAAGGATGCAAATTGCAATTAAAATAGACTGACCAATTTCATCTGACTGATGCCATTCTACTGCAGAGATTAAGTAAACCTTTATTTCAGGGTGGTGAGATCAGTCTTTAACCAACTTACACAAATTGATATGGAATTTCTATTGATCTATGGGTGCATGACACTTTTCAAGGTAAAAAAACTGAGCGAATATGTCTCTGCTGGTCTAATTGCATTGCGAGCAACTTGTGTCTTATTATCTGAAGCCTAAAGCAAATTTTGAAAAGAAAAATTATTAGGTCAATTGGACATCTGCTGTGTGGGAAAACATTCCTTAGGAAACTGTGACTGTAGAGCTCTCTGGGATCTCAAACAGAATTAATCCTAAGCATTTGTTTGCTGTCATCAACAACATTAGTGTACCAGCAGCAGTATTTAACTACACAGAAAAAAAGAACAGTTTAAGACCAGGGAGAAAGTCGATATTATTTTTGCAGAAGAGTTCCTGTGGTAAAACTAACTAATTAAAATCATTGCTTTCATGGTAAATACCTCAAAATTTCATGTCTGAGATGTTGAAAACTTTCTTTGCATTAAAATTTTCTTTGTGACTGCTCTGGTTTAGCATCTTGCAATTGCCAAAAACTTATTGGCATTTGTTTTGTTTTTAAAAATGCATGCATAGAAATCTGTGTATGCAATGGGATTTTATTTTTTTTAAATGTGCTTCAGAGATGTGTAGAATCACAGGCTCCATGAATAAGGTGAATAGAGGGAATCAGATGAAATACATAGTGTGCAGATGGAAAATAAAATAGTTTTTCTGGTATTATGTATTTGAACTGTGGAGCTCATAGCGTTTTGAGAATGCTAAAGACTGGTGATGAAGTTTAATAACCAGCCAAACAAAATCTAACACCCCTCCTACCCCACAAAAGTGTGAGGCAGAAAACCCCATCCTTTAAACAGAAAAGTGTCATCAGTGATTGAAGAAATGTTTGATGGGTGGGTTACTGAAAACTGAGAGTACACTCCCAAGGAAAGTGTCATGTCATCACTCTGTTTTCTGTTGCTCACATTTCCTGTTGCTCAGTGTCAGAAATCAGGTAATAGGAGAGAGGGATTTTGAGTGTAGCTCTGGCTGTTCTTGTAACTGGTATGCAGATTTGTCTGGTTCAGGAAGATAACATCACTGAATGTGGCAGAGCATGTGTTGCACGTTGCACTGCAAGCAACAGAACTGCCTTCAATAGGCAAATTAAGTCTGTGTTCTGCATGTGTAAATTAGTGGCATATGATTTGACTAGGATTAAGAGGACACTAATATTCATTCACTCACAGTTGTGAAATATATTATTTTCCTTGGCACCACTCAATTTTGAGGGGAAATCTGTATTGCTGTAGAGAATTCTTTCATCAGAAATTGTGTATTAAATGTGTTTGCTAGAAAATCTGAGGGTTTCTACCTTTGGTGTTTAAAAGTTCATCTTAAGTGGCAAGATATGAAGAGCCTTGGACAAATATAAGCATATGGTATTTTCTGTGAGATTAAATCGATTTCCTGACTGAATTTTAATTTTCGAAGTATAGTAATTGGACTCCTTGGAGCAAATAAAAGGTTAAAAATAGTTGTCTTCATGTTTTCAGAAACAACTAACCAACTGGAGGTTTATAAAGGTGTTTTTAAGCTACTTTTGGTGTGGTTAAACTAAAAGTTGGAAACTCCTCCTGTGGCAGATGTGTTCTTGCTGTGTAGCTGTGCTCCCTGGATTTTCAGAAATACTACTCAATGTTTTAGCTCTGATATTGTACCTGTGTTTATTTATATGTATTAAACTTACTAAAAATGCATGAAAGTCTGTTTGCATTTGAAAGGACAAAACATCTGTGTTTGTGTCCATATATATGTGTATATATAACCTTGTAATCTATTTTCTTTTAGCATGTTATGCCAGACCTCATCAGTGATATTCTTCTTTAGTTATGGCTACAAGGTTTTTTTTTCCATGTCCAAAGAAGTCAACATGACTAGCATCTTTGATATTAGAACTAGAACTTTGATATTAGGTTTAAGTCTGCTCACTAGCTTCCTTGTAGGATGTTGGTGACATATATTTGTTAGTAAAGGCCTTTAATTCTCAGAATATGCAGTACTAACAATACCCTAACTGAATTGGAATATAGATGTAGTGTTTAGTGTTTTTAGTGTTTTCCCTCTGAATTCTGAAATGTATGAAATTTTGTATTCTTAAGTCAAGATAGAATCCCTAAATACTTTATCCTAATTTCAGTTGATTTTTAGCTTTAGAAGCTTTTAAAAGGTTGTAAATGAAAGCCAATCTCAGGGTATTTCAATCACTTGATTAAACTGTATTAGGAAAGTTTTTTATCTTGTTTTTCATTCAGTCTGGAAACTTCCCAGAGTGCCTAATTGTTTGGTTTGTTTCCTTTCAGATGAAACGGCTCCTAAAGAAGTCAGCAGGGTAAGTGCTGCTCTCTATCCCCTCTAAAAACACGTGGCCCACTGTTCACTTGAGATGATTTTTCCATAAACTCTGATCAAGATTTATCTCTGGTTATAGTGTATCTCCAGAGGAAAAAATGCTGTACAGACTGTCTAGAGAACAGTTAATAAGGAAAATAAATATTAAGAACACTTGATTGGCTGTAAATAAATTGAAGGGTATTTTGCATTTAGAGTTCTCCCAGTGCTATTTTCGTGATCCAGTTTTAAAAAGGTACTTCATGGAAACCAGGAAATTCATGGGACTTTGAGCATAACATCATACTATTTAATCAGTGTAACTGCCTCAATAAGGGGCAAGCATAGGAAAGGAAGACAAATGCTCTATTTAATAACTCCCTTTTGAGATGTGGCATGATACAATGAGTTAAATTTTTTTATTTAAAATATTTTGCAGTGGTCTGCATGAAATGTAATGTAAAATCCTAAAAAACCACATTGAGTAATAGACTCCCAACCCTAGCCTTACATCTGATTGACACTGTGTCCTGCAGAATATCTGTCTGTGACTGAGGACTAATTACAGGGATCTGTTAGGAGTGAGTGCCTTTGCTGTGAATGAGAAAATTCCAGTTCAGGACAATCTGTTGCTCCCAGATGGGTCCAGGCATCCTGAGGGACCCCATAATGTGGGAGAACCCTTATGACTTTCCAAGATGGAATCATATTCCTGTTTTGGTCTCCTTCTCGAATGTCTTGCATAAACTATTTCATGCTCCCAGGAGGAGCACAGTAGTGTCAGACATCTATTAAAAACAGGGCAGGTTGAAAGACTGCAAAAACTGGCTGAATGCTCTTGCACTCAGTAGAAGGCCTTTGGAAAATGCTAGAATGTGGAAGGAGTGGAGAACTAAGGCTGGTAGTGGAAGTTTCAGTTTTGTAACCCTGTGAGCAGAGGGCTGGGATAAGGGGTAACAGGAGTTCACCTCATATGTGTCTACAAGAAAGAGATTTAGTGTTGTCTAAAAATGAGTTCATTCAAGCAGACATTTTCCATATACATGATGTTCCATGGACTTATAAGGCTGTTGAGAGTTTAGGTGAAAATTAGTGTGCTTTAGTAGTTCATTAGTTTTCCAACATGGTTTTTGTTCAACTCTTAGTATGCTACTGTTATGACAGTGAATACCTTTTGTTGTAATGTGGAATTATTGTTATTAGTGTATCAATATATATTGTTTTGATCTCAAAATAACCAAACATCTCCCTAAAAATCTCAGAAGCTCTAATTATGTATGTGGGAAAGTTCCTTTTAATTGTCATTAATTTAGTAGATTAACATTTACCTAAACCTCTGTAAAACAGAATTACAGAATATATCTTAGTTACCACATCTGAGCTATTTAAGGCAAAGAAAACAAGTTCTGAACCCCCAAGTCTGCCTTTCCAGTCACTCCCTATGTCTCTCGGACTGGTGTCAGCCATCTCACCCCTCAAAGTCATATCTTGTGGCTTAGGATTTCCTAAAGATGGATGGGCTGTCACTTGAAGCCCTGGAATCAGTAGGGTGCAGATGATACTTCAGATGTTCTTAAGTAAACATTCTCTCCCTTGTTTTTTTTAGCCATCAATCATTGTGCACTTGGTATGTATACTGTGGTGCACTCCTATTTGGTTTAGCTTTTTTAAAAGTAAAGTACTTGAAGGTACTCAGGAGTACACCATGCTACAAATAAACAGGCTGATTTGTTTGCTGTGTTTTTGAATAATGCCATATATAATAATTTAGACCATTGTAATACATCCTCTTTCTTCAGCAGCAGCTCAAACTGATACCACCTTAATTAAATATGAACATAGATTAGAATTTAAATTAGGAAAGTTCTGTATGTGAGTAATGTTTTTCAGACAAAAAGACATGTTCACGCTGACTGAAAAATTATGAGTTTTGAAGTCATTAAGTGTCACATTTTTAATTCCTGAAAACATCTGCAAGAAACAGCTTGTATCATAGGGAAGGAAAAATTAAGGTTAGTGAAAGGAAATTTATTGCTGAATTAAATCACCGATTGCTTTAGCAATACCATGTTAGCTAGAAAATTAGGTAGGAATATACTAAAAAAAATCTTAAATTGTTGGAAGGTAATTTCAGTATTTTCAAGGGTTTCATGTTGCAGTTTCACACTTAGAAAATTTAGGAAATTTTGAAATGTAAGTTTTGAAATCCTGTTTAATAGGAACTGCATTTTGAATATATTATTTTTAGCTTCTCAGTAAAAAATTAAAGCTGCCAACTTGGCTATTGGCACTTCATTTCAAGTTTTTGAAAGAAGAGGAGAGGAGAAAGCAGGAGAAGACTTCCGCATAATTTAAATTTTGACAATTGTAGAATAGAAAAAAAGAAAAAATAATCAAAATTGATTATTTTTTATTCTGGTCCACTAATGGCAATTTTGTCAATACTTTGGTGTTCAGAAATTATTTGGAAAGATTTCCTTGTTTGGCCTGATATAGCATCTGAATGGTGGTGGAGGGGAAAGACTTCCTGATTCCTGTAGACAGCTTTTGGCATAAGAGCAGCTCTGGTTACAAAATACTTCATGAGCATCTGTGACCAATGAACCTGTGAACTTTTTTCTGATACTAGTTTCCAGTGTTTATGAAATATATGTAACTAGGGACAGAATCTCGTTTTTGCATGATGTAGTATTGGGAACATCCTTGGAAATGCTGAGTTTCTTCTGCTCACTTATTGTGCAGATGTGTGTTGGCTGATCCCATCCATCCTAGCTGCACAAGTGGTTTTCTGGGCAGAGGGATTTCAAAAGGAAAACCAACTATTGAACTATTTGGATGAAGAAAACTTAAACTGAATACTTTGCTGTTTTCCTGTTTAATCTGCAGAAGAAACGAAAAGAGAGGAGTGTGAGTTTGAGCACTAAGTGCGCATGTATTCATGCACATCTAGACTAAAGATGTAGTTCTCTGACAACATTAGTGAAAACAGTGTGCTTTGGAGGCATGTTATTCTTTTCAGTTGGCAAAAATAACCCCATTCCTTCATGAACTATAGCCAGGATTCTGTTCTACGTGCTGCTAAGTTCCCCGTGATCACTGTGTGCTCTTTTGTACCTCAGGTTCTGAAGTTTAAGTGAAAATACTCCATGTTCCTGATATGATCACAGCAAAATTAGCTGTTCATTTTGCTTAATAACTTTCCATTCCATGTTTACTTGAACAATACTTGCAGTGAAGTTGCCTTTTGGCAAGTACCTTTGCTTTGTAAACTCTGGCAATGCCAACAGCAATTCACTTTACAGAATTTTACCATATAAACACGAGAAAATTATTACCTAGCAAGTGACTTGCTCATTTAGATTACTTTATGCTTGGAAACAGGAATGATAGTTTAATCCTCTCCTTTCCCCTTTTTGGACTTGCAGCTTTTTGGCAGCTGCCTTGGCACCAGCCAGCACCCAGCACAGTATGTCACTGCCAGTCACAGAATTAGCAAGTGTGTTTTCAGTAAATAGTTGCAGTAATTGCATGTATCTTCACTGTGTGACTGATAATAAAGGTTTGGGCTCTCCATGACCCATTGGCAAAGCAAGCTCATTCCTTGTAGTATCTTATTAAAGACAGGATTTAAATATTTTCAGATTGTCCCAGAACTGAGAGCAGATTAATAAAAAAGTTAGGGGAACTAGAACAAATATAAAAATATATAGAAATATATATTTAGCCTTTAGAAGTGTTGCAAATAGCATTGCACCTATTGTCACGAGAAGATGCTTGTATAAGCCGATGTCTTTAAAAAGAAAACCTTGTGAATACTGTGGTAGTGATAAGCAACAGTGGTAGGAAAATGAAGAAGTTTATTTTTAATGTTGTACATGGTGTCTTTAGAGTGCTTGCAAGTCAAGTATTAGGAGGGAATGTCATTTTATAAAAAGCTTTTTAAAAAGAGGAGCAGTATTCAGCCTTGTCAAATTAAACTGAAGCTCATTATGCTGTTTTATTATATAATCTGGAGAGGTGATATAATTGAGATATTCATGAGGTTTTATGAGCCTTACAGTTAATAACAGATTATATGGTTACTTCTATGTAATCATAATGTTCTTTTCTCATAAGTGAGGCCTTGGCTTTTTATGCTGTATTTTTTCTATGGTGGAGCAATTTATTTCAGTGTTGCCATTTGGAAACAGGGAAGGAGCTTATGGGAAGGTTAGGATGGATGTCAGTGAGGGGGGGGCTGTGGGGCAAGAAGCTTCTTTTAGGAAAGGTGTTCACCATCTCTCTGAGGCTTGGAAATCAGCTAGATAGAAAGGCTGGGAAATGTGTGCCTTCAAAACTACTGAGTTCTTTCTGTGCAGAGTAAGAAAGCTGGTTTGCATCATAATAGGGCCTGTGCTGCCAAATGTCATCTCGTATTTTCCCTTCTTTCATTTTGTCATGAAGCTGTTTGATGAGTGGAGAAAAAATTCATAAATACCTGCGTATGGTGCTGCAATGCTAAACTTTATTTACCATGCAAGTTCTAACCCATGTCCTCTCCAGTCAAAACAAGAAGAATAGACGTCAGACAAATGCGTGTAGGAGCAGTTTTCTCTGAGGCTATGTACAACCATTAAAATTAATCACCTCAGCTAAGACTGCACTTTATAGTTGCTTGCTTTCCAGCGTCCAAGTTTAAAGAAACTGGTTATGTCAGCCAAGCCCAGTTACCTCTTCTGATTTTTTTTTTTTTTGAGTTTCCTCTCCAAGCTCATTGCTCCTCTGAAAGCCATCTCTGTGCTGTAAGTTTGCTTACCACTTTCTTCAGTCCAAGGATTTCACATCCTTTGGCTCAGCATTTCCACTTTGAAACAAGCAGTCTGATTAGCCTTTTGTAAGGTTGGGGGGGGGGGGGGGTTGTGTTTTTTAATTATTTTTTTAAATGAATTGCAGATCCATCTTTTTGTTGCTTCACATGTCCAGTTTATGTGTGTTTACAGTGTTATTTGAATGTAGTTATCT